GAGGGAATATTTTGAGGAATTGTTAAATGTTGATGAAGATAGGGAAGCTGTGATTTCGTGTATAGGGCAAGGAGGAATAACATCTTGTAGGAGTGAGGAAGAGCCAGTTGTGAGTGTGGGGGAAGTTCGTGAGGCAGTAGGTAAAATGAAAGGGGGTAAGGCAGCCGGGATTGATGGGATAAAGATAGAAATGTTAAAAGCAGGTGGGGATATAGTTTTGGAGTGGTTGGTGCAATTATTTAATAAATGTATGGAAGAGGGTAAGGTACCTAGGGATTGGCAGAGAGCATGCATAGTTCCTTTGTATAAAGGCAAAGGGGATAAAAGAGAGTGCAAAAATTATAGGGGGATAAGTCTGTTGAGTGTACCTGGTAAAGTGTATGGTAGAGTTATAATTGAAAGAATTAAGAGTAAGACGGAGAATAGGATAGCAGATGAACAAGGAGGCTTTAGGAAAGGTAGGGGGTGTGTGGACCAGGTGTTTACAGTGAAACATATAAGTGAACAGTATTTAGATAAGGCTAAAGAGGTCTTTGTGGCATTTATGGATTTGGAAAAGGCGTATGACAGGGTGGATAGGGGGGCAATGTGGCAGATGTTGCAAGTGTATGGTGTAGGAGGTAGGTTACTGAAAGCAGTGAAGAGTTTTACGAGGATAGTGAGGCTCAAGTTAGAGTATGTAGGAAAGAGGGAAATTTTTTCCAGTAAAAGTAGGCCTTAGACAAGGATGTGTGATGTCACCGTGGTTGTTTAATATATTTATAGATGGGTTGTAAGAGAAGTAAAATGCGAGGGTCTTGGCAAGAGGCGTGGAGTTAAAAGATGAAGAATCACACACAAAGTGGGAGTTGTCACAGCTGCTCTTTGCTGATGACACTGTGCTCTTGGGAGATTCTGAAGAGAAGCTGCAGAGATTGGTGGATGAATTTGGTAGGGTGTGCAAAAGAAGAAAATTAAAGGTGAATACAGGAAAGAGTAAGGTTATGAGGATAACAAAAAGATTAGGTGATGAAAGATTGAATATCAGATTGGAGGGAGAGAGTATGGAGGAGGTGAATGTATTCAGATATTTGGGAGTGGACGTGTCAGCGGATGGGTCTATGAAAGATGAGGTGAATCATAGAATTGATGAGGGAAAAAAGAGTGAGTGGTGCACTTAGGAGTCTGTGGAGACAAAGAACTTTGTCCTTGGAGGCAAAGAGGGGAATGTATGAGAGTATAGTTTTACCAACGCTCTTATATGGGTGTGAAGCGTGGGTGATGAATGTTGCAGCGAGGAGAAGGCTGGAGGCAGTGGAGATGTCATGTCTGAGGGCAATGTGTGGTGTGAATATAATGCAGAGAATTCGTAGTTTGGAAGTTAGGAGGAGGTGCGGGATTACCAAAACTGTTGTCCAGAGGGCTGAGGAAGGGTTGTTGAGGTGGTTCGGACATGTAGAGAGAATGGAGCGAAACAGAATGACTTCAAGAGTGTATCAGTCTGTAGTGGAAGGAAGGCGGGGTAGGGGTCGGCCTAGGAAGGGTTGGAGGGAAGGGTAAAGGAGGTTTTTTGTGCGAGGGGCTTGGACTTCCATCAGGCATGCGTGAGCGTGTTTGATAGGAGTGAATGGAGACAAATGGTTTTTAATACTTGACGTGCTGTTGGAGTGTGAGCAAAGTAACATTTATGAAGGGATTCAGGGAAACCGGCAGGCCGGACTTGAGTCCTGGAGATGGGAAGTACAGTGCCTGCACTCTGAAGGAGGGGTGTTAATGTTGCAGTTTAAAAACTGTAGTGTAAAGCACCCTTCTGGCAAGACAGTGATGGAGTGAATGATGGTGAAAGTTTTTCTTTTTCGGGCCACCCTGCCTTGGTGGGAATCGGCCAGTGTGATAATAATAAAATATATATATATATATATATATATATATATATATATATATATATATATATATATATATATATATATATATATATATCTGTTGGAGTGTGAGCAGGGTAATATTTAGTGAAGGGATTCAGGGAAACCGGTTATTTTCATATAGTCGGACTTGAGTCCTGGAAATGGGAAGTACAATGACTGCACTCTAAAGGAGGGGTTTGGGATATTGGCAGTTTGGAGGGATATGTTGTGTATCTTTATACGTACATGCTTCTAAACTGCTGTATTCTGAGCACCTCTGCAAAAACAGTGATAATGTGAGAGTGTGGTGAAAGTGTTGAATGATGAAAGTATTTTCTTTTTGGGGATTTTCTTTCTTTTTTTGGGTCACCCTGCCTCGATGGGAGACGGCCGACTTGTTGAGAGAGAATATATATATATATATATATATATATATATATATATATATATATATATATATATATATATATATATATATATATATATATATATATATATATGCAATTTAACCACGGTGAATGGTAATGAATGGTAGCTTTCATGATCTCTTAATCACATTTTCAATAGATGAGAATGTGATGAAAAATCACGAGAAAGCTTGAAATTTAATTACCATTTACTGCGGTTAAATTGCACATTAACATAGCATTGGTTTCTTGTGATCTTACTGCTTTTGGCCTAGAAGGTAAAAATGGAATGGTACTGTGGTAAAAGAAATTAACTTAGTCCTCCCATACACAATGGCTTTAGCTAGTCATTCTCCTGAACGAATACACCTCGGCTTCCTACTCACTTATGCAATATTGCAAGCTCCTGAAGGTGTGCTGATTGCAACAAGGCCTAGAGCTACCACTCAACTTCCAGTGTGGTTACTTTGCGTCTTGCATCGCTTGTTCGCGATTATTGCTTATTAGTATATGTATGTAGTTAGTCGTATTAAATATTCCAAATTTCTCTCCTCTCTCTCTTCTTTCTTTCTCCTTTATAAAATTTATGTTTACTTCGCTCTGGGATGATGGAGATGTCTTCATATTTTTTATTTCTCCTGTGTACAGGATAGGTCGTCGTGGGTAATGGAATATGACATGGAAACTGTTAGCTTTTGTTTCTACTATGTCACAGGGCAGTAGCATACTGCTGTTGTACCCTATTTTGCTATTAAAAATGGTGCCATCCCAACACACACACACACACACACACACATAGGAAAGAGACGGGGCTAGGAGCTGAGATTCGATCCCTACACCTATATAATTGAGTACAATAATGCTACACAGTGATGCCAACGTTTGGTGCACCACACTAGTGCCAGTTGAGGCTGTGACTCCTACCTGTCAGGCTGATGGAAGAAACGGGTCCTCACGTAGCTGGGGCGCTGGAAGTGGAAGTAGTAGGTGGTGTCCAGGGAGTAGAAGCAGCTAGAGGCGTCGACAGCCAGGCTCTGCATGATCTCGTACGCCAGCCTTCCTATCTGTCCCGCAAAAAATTCTTATCACACAACAATACACTCAAGGTCACACTCGCACAATGTTACATTTGCACAAGGACACAGGGCCATGGTATCCTCTGTCGACAAAGCAGCAAAGAAAGCCTACGAAGCCAATACTAAGCTAACTGATCTTGAGAGTTTTTTAGCCACAAGGATACAGATGGGACGAATTGAGGCCTATATGAAAAATCTGACTCTTGGCTGGATGAGTTGGTGGAATTAGTGCTGAAGAACCAGTTCGCATGGCAAGCACCTCAAGTACACAAGAGAAAAAGCGGAAGAGTCAGGAAGGCTAGAGAGTGTTTGTATATTTGAGGTATATAGAGTATGAGCCCTCAATGAGAATGAGTATGAGTATTTATGCAGTGATGTTCCTCTATTACCTTGTAGAAATAAACCTGGAAAGAGACGTGGAAGGATAGAGAGTTCAGATTAAATATGAAGGGACAGTGCTGGATCAGTCAACTGCTTCCGGCACAGGTTATTATTATAATTATTAATAAAAACATTTAAAAAACATGCGCCACGTCCGCATGGGTCGTAAGGCATAGGTAAGCAAGTGGTCGTTTCTGTCGTGAGTGACTGTAGAGGCACTGGATACCTCGCCTTAAAGTGTCCTTAACCAGCAGTTTTTCGACGACCCTGCCTTCGAGATGACTAATGTCAGGTGCCACACACATACACAGACACACATACACACACATACACAGACACAAATGCCAAGCACATTAGGAATAAAAAGACTTCTATGAAAACCTGAACAGTACTCGTATGTCATGTGTATTACGTTTTCTATTTTATCTTATTTTAAATTCTAAAAACCTCACACTGAAGAGTACTCACCTGAATAGTACTCACACTGAAGAGTACTCACACTGATAAGTACTCATTATCAGGAGAACAATTATTTTCAAATAGCCTGTAGTACACGGCTTTGCCACGTACCAACTAGGTGAGTACAAATAGGAAGGGCGTCTGTCTGGCGCTCAGCAGACGGAGGATCAAGCCTCCACGTCATGCGCTGAATGATCCCCATGGATTTAGCGCTTAACATAAATTATATTTGCCACGTACCAACTTTTAGCAGTCCAATGACTATCGACACTGAGGAATAAAGTGTACACAAAGATAAATTTTTGGTTTAACATATATTCCCGCCTCTAGAATGTATATTCAGGCTATTTGCATTTATGTAGAGAGCTGAGAGACAAGTTAAACACAACAGTGAATAGAATTTGGGGGGAAGTATGTATGAGAGCACTCGCTATGCAGCTATACAGAAAGAGGAGACTGTCATGGAGTGAGCCAGTCAGTTGCGCGAGAGGGTTCTGAAAGTCTGAAGAAAGGTAACCTCACTCAGCCGTCCAACCTCTCTGAAATGTCAGGTCACCTAAACACTTTGCTAGCCTCCCTGTCCCAGGATGGGACAGGGATAAGATAACATGATGAGAAAGTGGATTTATTTTGCGCATGTTGAATGCAAAACGAATGACACTAACGAGAGAGTTTTAAATGTAACTGCACTCTGGCACATGCCACTAACAATAAAAAGTACTCACATAAGAGTACTCACAGTGAAGAGACCTTACAGTGAAGAGACCTCACATGAAAGAATACTCACATTGGAGGATAAAGTTACAACGATGTAATCGGTGCGAGACAAGAAGTAGATGTCCACTACGAGGTCTCTCAGCGAAGCTAGTGTGAACCGCTTGGCATATCTTACCACTTCGATGCTCTTTGTATTGTACAGAATCTCGTACTCTGGGTATCTGTGAGAAGTGATACCAGATGAATTATTATAGGAACCTGTAGAGCAGCAAAATCTGATGACTTATCGTACAGTAGTTGCAGTATAATGCGATCTTTTATTGACTACATTTCGCCACACGGTGGGCTTTATCAAGTCATAAACAATAAAGGATCGTATTTTGCTGCATTAGTGCATTTTTCTATCGTGTCGGTATTTTATACCATTTGTCTCCTCAGTAGGTACCTGTTGGATAGTGAAATCAGATTTCTTGTGAGTATTTGTTTGTTGATCAGTGAGACCAGGTGACATCAAGGTGTATCAGAACATCTATTGTCAAGAAGATAATAAGGAAAATATTGTGCACCTTTAGGTCTCTAGAATGTCCTCGTTAGTTCGAATCCCACGTGGACGTTATTGCATTTTGAAATATTTATACACAGCATGAAAACCAAGACAAAATTTACACCTCGTTCCACCCGCGGGTGAACACGCACGCAAACGCGCACATATACGCGCACACACACACACACACACACACACACACACACACACACACACACACACACACACACACACACACACACACACACACACACACACACACGGGGAGTTCACAAGAAACGACCAAGAGGTATGTGAGGAGCACCAGACATCTCTCCGTGGGTCCTTAGAGAGGGAGCAGAGATGCTGTGTGTGCCACTAACAAAGATCTTCAACACATTCATTGAAACTGGGCAACTCCCTGAGGTATGAAAGACGGCAAATGTGGTCCCAATTTTTAAAAAAGGAGACACACATGAGGCATTAAACTACAGACCTGTGTCACTAACGTGTATAGTATGCAAAGCCATGGAGAAAATCATCAGGAGGAGAGTAGTGGAGCACCAGGAAAGAAACAAATGTATAATCGACAACCAGCACGGTTTCAGGGAAGGAAAATTCTGTGTCACAAACCTACTGGAGTTTTATGACAAGGTGACAGAAGACAAGAGAGAGAGGGGTGGATAGACTGCATTTTCTTGGACTGCAAGAAGGCCTTCGACACTGTTCCTCACAAGAGATTGCTGCAAAACCTAGAGGATCAGGCACACATAACAGGTAAGGCACTGCAATGGATCAGAGAATATCTGACAGGGAGGCAACAACGAGTCATGGTACGTGACGAGGTATCGGAGTGGGCGCCTGTGACAAGCGGGGTTACAAAGGGGTCAGTCCTAGGACCTGTGCTGTTTTTGGTATATGTGAATAACATAACGGAAGGGACAGACTCAGAAGTGTCCTTGTTTGCAGATGATGTGAAGTTAATGAGGAAAATCAAATCGATCGAGGATCAGGCAGGACTACAAACAGACCTGGACAGGCTACAAGCCTGGTCCAGCAACTGGTTCCTTGAATTTAACCCTGCCAAATGCAAAGTTATGAAGATTGGGGAAGGGCAAAGAAGACCGCAGACACAGTATAATCTAGGTGGCCAAAAACTGCAAACCTCACTCAAGTAAAAAGATCTTGGGGTGAGTATAACACCGAGCACATCTGAGGCGCACATCAGTCAGATAACTGCTGCAGCGTACGGGCGTCTGGAAAACCTAAGGATAGCGTTCCGATACCTCAGTAAGGGATCGTTCAAGACTCTGTACACCATTTACGTCAGGCCCATACTGGAGTATGCAGCACCAGTTTGGAATCCACACCTGGTCAAGCACGTCAAGAAATTAGAGAAAGTGCAAAGGTTTGCAACAAGACTAGTCCCAGAGCTAAGGGGATTGTCCTACGAAGAAAGGTTAAGGGAAATCGGCCTGACGACACTGGAGGACAGGGGGGGTCAGGGGAGACATGATAACGACATAAAATACTGCGCGGAATAGACAAGGTGGACAAAGACAGGATGTTCCAGAGATGGGACACAGAAACAAGAGGTCACAATTGGAAGTTGAAGACTCAGACGAGTCAAAGGGATATTAGGAAGTATTTCTTCAGTCATAGAGTTGTCAGGCAGTGGAACAGCCTAGAAAGTGATGTAGTGGAGGCGGGAACCATACATAGTGTTAAGACGAGGCTTGATAAAGCTAATGGAAAAGGGAGAGAGAGTACCCAGTAGCAATCAGTGAAGAGGCGGGGCCAGGAGCTATGAATCGACCCCTGCAACCACAAATAGGTGAGTACACACGCACAACCTACTTTTTCTTTGCCTCCTCGAAGACTCGAGGCTCGTCCGAGGCCAGGTAGATCCTGCGGGTCACGTTAGGGTTGAACACTTGGAGACCAGCGAAGTATTCCTCGACCTGCTCCATGTACTCCTCCAGTTGGTAATACTGTGCTTCATTTATTTTATCAGTTCGTCTCACGTGAACGCTGTTGACGACAAAAGGCAATGTGACATTATTATTATTATTATTACTAGCCGCCGATGAGGTCTTATGTTAAAGACCGAAATATACACGCCCGTTTTAGTCAGTGTCATCTTGTGTCTCCCAACAGTCAGTACATGAGCTCTCAATTAATATCTTCATTTCTACAAGGACATGTACAAGGTATACAGTCCTAGCTGACATCAATGACATACTACTATATAGAAAGCCCCTTGTTATGTAGAGCATTTCGGATAAATTAAGTCAGTTTTCTCCCAGGATGCGACCCACACCAATCGACTAACACCCAGGTACCCGTTTTACTGATGGAGAACAGACAACCTGTGTAAAGAAACACGCCCAATGTTTCTAGCCTCCCTGGGAATCGAATCCAGACTTGCCGTGTGAAGCAAAATTATTATTATAATCAAGGGGAAGCGCTAAACCCGTAGAATTATACAGCGCCTGGGGGGGGGGGAATGTGGAAGGCATTCAGGCTTAATTCGGGGAATTGGAGCACAGATCCAATTCCCTAAATCAAGAGCCCCTCACCAACATCAAGGAACCTTCCCTGAGGGGTGTGAAGCAAAAGCTTTAGTCACCAGGCCATGGGGCACCGTGTTTTGAATTTTCCATTACATTGGTAGTGACTTGAAGGGTTCAAGAGCCTGAGCATGTCCCCTTACTGTTGGTGATGTCGGGAGTTCTCCATACAAACTCGTGACTGGGTTGTAGTTGTGGCTCTCGCTAACTATTCAAGTAAACGGCATTTTTCTGATAGTGGACTCCTTGTGGCCTTCAGTGGCAGAGATGCACAACCTCCTCCACTCTGGGGCCACATGTATAGACTCACTCATTATGAGCAGTTACCACATGAATAGACTGACTCATTATGAGCAGTTACCACATGTATATTGACTGACCCATTATGAGCAGTTACATGTATATTGACTGACCCATTATGAGCAGTTACCACATGTATATTGACTGACCCATTATGAGCGGTTACCGCATGGAAAGACTGAACCGTCATGAGCGGTTACCACACTGCCATCTGGTGAGAGAGAGAGACAAGTTTGTTAAACATTTGCAACATCCTTATGTTCTTTCTTGAAATCTCTAAAGCGCTTGTTATGAAGGAGTCAATCCTCATGAAGGAATCCAGTCTTCCCTGCATATTTTTTCACCTTTATAATTTACACAGTGCTTTTGACAGTTTTTTTTATAAGATATCGCGGGCTAAAGATGTGCCACTCAAGGATCCGCGGGTCACCAGTTGTTCCACCCAGCTCCATAGTAGTGTGTGTGTGTTAGTTACCATTTTGTCCTAGGCACATGTCGATTAGACACTAGGCCTGTTGTATGTGTGTGTATGTGTGTGTGTGTGTGTGTGTGTGTGTGTGTATGGGTGTGTGTATATGGGTGTGTGTATGGGTGTGTGTGTATGGGTGTGTGTGTATGGGTATGTGTGTGTATGGGTGTGTGTGTATGGGTGTGTGTGTGTGTGTGTGTTAGTTACCATTTGGTCCTAGGCACATGTCGATTAGACACTAGGCCTGTTGTATGTGCATGCCTGTGTGTGTATGTCTGTGTATGTGTGTGTGTGTGGGTGTGTATGTGTGTGTGTGTGTGTGTGTGTGTGTGTGTGTGTGTGTGTGTGGGTGTGTGTGGGTGTGTGTGGGTGTGTGTGGGTGTGTGTGGGTGTGGGTGTGTGTGGGTGTGTGTGGGTGTGGGTGTGGGTGTGTGTGGGTGTGTGTGTGGGTGTGGGTGTGTGTGTGGGTGTGTGTGTGTGGTGTGTGTGTGGGTGTGTGTGGGTGTGTGTGTGTGTGTGGGTGTGTGGGTGTGTGTGGGTGTGTGTGTGGGTGTGTGTGTGGGTGTGTGTGTGGGTGTGTGTGTGGGTGTGTGTGTGGGTGTGTGTGTGGGTGTGTGTTGGGTGTGTGTGTGTGGTGTGTGTGGGTGTGTGTGGGGTGTGTGGGTGTGTGTGGGTGTGTGTGTGGGTGTGTGTGTGTGGGGTGTGTTGGGTGGGTGTGTGGGTGGTGTGTGGGTGTGTGGGTGGTGTGTGGGTGGGTGTGTGGGTGGTGTGTGGGTGGGTGTGTGGTGGTGTGTGGGTGGGTGTGTGTGAGTTGTGGTGAGTGTGGGTGAGTGTGTGGGTGAGTGTGTGGGTGGGTGTGGGTGGGTGTGTGTGTATGTGTGTGTACTCACCTAGTTGTGGTTGCGGGGGTCGATTCACAGCTTATGGCCCCGCCTCTTCACCTAGCCACTACCCGGTCACTCTTCCTGCTCCGTGAGCTTTATCATACCTCTTCTTAAAGCTATGTATGGATCCTGCCTCCACTACATCACTACCCAGGCTATTCCACTTCCTGACAACTCTATGTCGTTATCATATCCCCCCTAACTCTCATGCTGTCAGACCGATTTCCCTTAGCCTCTCCTCGTAGGACATACCCCTTAGCTCTGTGTGTTAGTTACCATTCTGTCCTAGGCACATGTCGATTAGACACTTGGCCTGTTGTATATAAGTGTGTGCGTGCGTGCGTGAGTGTGCGTGCGTGTGTATGTGTGTGTGTGTAAATGTGTGTGTAAATGTGTGTGTAAATGTGTAAATGTGTGTAAATGTGTGTGTAAATGTGTGTAAATGTGTGTGTAAATGTGTGTGTGTGTGTGTGTGTGTGTGTGTGTGTGTGTGTGTGTGTGTATGTGTGTTAGTTACCATTTGGTCCTAGGCACATGTCGATTAGACACTAGTCCTGTTGTATGTGCATGCGTGTGTGTGTGTACTCACCTATTTGTACTCACCTATTTGTGGTTGCAGGGGTCGAGTCCTAGCTCCTGGCCCCGCCTCTTCACCGGTTGCTACTAGGCCCTCTCTCTCCTCGCTCCATGAGCTTTATCAAACCTCGTCTTAAAACTGTGTATGGTTCCTGCCTCCACTACGTCATTTTCTAGGCTATTCCACTGCCTTACAACTCTATGACTGAAGAAATACTTCCTACTATCTCTCTGACTCATTTGTGTCTTCAACTTCCAATTGTGGCCTCTTGTTTCTGTGTCCCCTCCCTGGAACATCCTGTCTTTGTCCACCTTGTCTATTCCACGCAGTATTTTATATGTCGTTATCATGTCTCCCCTGACCCTCCTGTCCTCCAGTGTCGTCAGGCCGATTTCCCTTAATCTTTCTTCATAGGACATTCCCCTTAGCTCTGGAACTAACCTTGTCGCAAACCTTTGTACTTTCTCTAGTTTCTTGACGTGCTTTATCAAGTGCGGGTTCCAAACAGGTGCTGCATACTCCAGTATGGGCCTGACATACACGGTGTACAGTGTCTTGAATGATTCCTTACTAAGGTATCGGAATGCTGTTCTCAGGTTTGCCAGGCGCCCATATGCTGCAGCAGTTATCTGATTGATGTGTGCTTCCGGAGACATGCTCGGTGTTATACTCACCCCAAGATCTTTCTCCTTGAGTGAGGTTTGCAGTCTTTGGCCACCTAGCCTATACTCTGTCTGTGGTCTTCTGTGCCCTTCCCCTATCTTCATGACTTTGCATTTGGCAGGATTAAATTCGAGAAGCCATTTGCTGGACCAGGTGTCCAGTCTGTCCAGGTCTCTTTGAAGTCCTGCCTGGTCCTCATCAGATTTAATTCTCCTCATTAACTTCACATCATCTGCAAACAGGGACACTTCTGAGTCTAACCCTTCCATCATGTCGTTCACATATACCAAAAATAGCACTGGTCCTAGGACCGACCCCTGTGGGACCCCGCTCGTCACAGGTGCCCACTGTGATACATCATTACGTATCATGACTCGTTGTTGCCTCCCTGTCAGGTATTCTCTGATCCATTGCAGTGCCCTTCCTGTTATATGCGCCTGATGCTCTAGCTTCTGCACTAATCTCTTGTGAGGAACTGTGTCAAAGGCCTTCTTGCAGTCCAAGAAGATGCAATCAACCCACCCCTCTCTCTCTTGTCTTACTTCTGTTATTTTATCATAAAACTCCAGAAGGTTTGTGACACAGGATTTGCCTTCCGTGAATCCGTGCTGGTTGGCATTTATACTCCTGTTCCGTTCCAGGTGCTCCACCACTCTCCTCCTGATAATCTTCTCCATAATTTTGCATACTATACACGTCAATGACACAGGTCTATAGTTTAGTGCCTCTTTTCTGTCTCCTTTTTTAAAAATGGGAACTACATTTGCCGTCTTCCATACCTTAGGTAGTTGCCCAGTGTGTGTGTGTGTGTGTGTGTGTGTGTGTGTGTGTGTGTGTGTGTGTGTGTGTGTGTGTGTGTGTGTGTTTTGTGTACTCCCCAAACTGTGGTTGCAGGGATCAAGTCACAGCCCCCGGCCCCCCCCCCCCCCCCCCCCCCCACCGGTCGCCACTGGGTCACTCACTCCGTGCTCTGTGAGCTTTATCATGCCTCTTCTTAAATGTATAGATCCTGCCTTCACTACCTCATTTTCCAGACTGTTCCACTGCCTGACAAATCTGTGACTGAAGAAATACTTCCAAACATCTCTGTGACTCATTTGAGTCTTCAACTTCCAATTGTGACCCCCTGTCGCTGTGTCCCATATCTGGAACATCTTATTTCTGTCCACTTTGTCGATTCCTCTCAACATTTTATATGTCGTTATCTCTATTCTGTCTGCGGTCTTCTTTCCCCTTCCCCTATCTTCATGCATTTGGCGGGGTTAAATTCGAGGAGCCAGTTGTTGGACCAGGCTTGCAGCCTATGTGTGTGTGTGGGGGGGGGGGGGGGAGCCAGTTGCTGGACTAGGCTTACAACCTGTGTGTGTGTGTGTGTGTGTGTGTGTGTGTGTGTGTGTGTGTGTGTGTGTGTGTGTGTGTGTGTGTGTGTGTGTGTGTTGTGTGTGTGTATGCGTATGTGTGTGTGTGTGTGTGTGTGTGTGTGTGTGTGTGTGTGTGTGTGTGTGTGTGTGTATGCGTATGTATGTGTGTGTGTGTGTGTGTGTGTGTGTGTGTGTGGTGTGTGTAATCCCCTAGTTGTGGTTGCAGGGGTCGAGTCACAGCTCCTGGCTCCGCCTCTTCACTGGTCGCTACTATGTCACTCTTCCCACTCCATGAGCTTTATCATACCTCGTCTTAAAGCTATGTATGGATCCTGTCTCCACTACATCACTTATCACACTATTCCACTTTCTGACAACTCTGAAGAAATGCTTCCTAACATCCCTGTCATTCATCTGAGTCTTCAACTTAAAATTGTGACTCTTGTTGCTGTGTCCCGTATAGAGAACATCCTGTCTCTGTCCACCTTGTCGATTCCTCTCAGTATTTTATCTCTTCTGTCCTTCAGTGTCGTCAGGTCGATTTCCCTTAATTTCTACAAGTAGGACATACCCCTTAGCTCCGGGACTAGTCTTGTTGCAAACCTTTTCTCTTTATCTAGTTTCCTTACGTGCTTGGCTAGGTGTGGGTTCCAAACTAGTGCTGCATACTCCAATATGGGCCTAACATACACAGTGTACAGGGTCCTGAACGATTCATTATTAAGATGTCGGAATGCTGTTCTTAGGTTTCCTAGGCGCCCGTATGCTGCAGCAGTTATTTGGTTGATGTGCGCCTCAGGAGATGTGCCCAGTGTTATACTCACCCCAAGATCCTTTTCCTTGAGTAAGGTTTATAGTCTCTGGCCCCTTAGAACGTACTCCATCTGCGTACTTCTTTGCCCTTCCCTAATCTCTATGACTTTGCACTTGGTGGGGTTGAACTCCAGGAGCCAGTTGCTGGGAAAGGTCTGCAGCCTTGTTCAGATCCCTTTGTAGCTCTGCCTGGTTCTCGTCCGATTGAATTCTTCTCATCGACTTCACATCATCTGCTAACTAGGATACTTCGGAGTCTATTCCTTCCGTCATGTCATTCGCAAATACCAGAAACAGTACAGCTCATAGGATTGATCCCTGTGGAACCCCGCACGTTACACGTGTCCACTCTGACACCTCGCCACGTACCATGACTCGCTTTTGTCTTCCTGACAAGTATTCCCTGATCCATTGTGGTGCCTTCCCTTTTATACCTGCCTGGTCCTCCAGTTTTTGCACTAATCTTTTGTGCGGAACTGTGTCAAACGCCTTACAGTCCAAAAAAATGTAATCTACCCACCCCCTCTCTCTCTTGTCTCATTGCTATTACCCTGTCATAGAACTCCAGTAGGTTTGTGACACAGGATTTCCCGTCCCTGAAACCATGCTAGCTGTCGCTGATAAGATCATTCTTTTCTAAGTGTTCCACCACTCTTCTCCTGACTTTGTATCCTATATATGTTTGTGACACTTTTCTGTAGTTTAATGCTTCGTGTGTCTCCTTTTTTAAAAACTGGGACAACATTTGCTGTCTTCCATACCTCATGCAGTCACCTTGCTTCGATAGATGTGTTGAAGATTGTTGTTAGTGGTACACACAGCGCCTCTGCTCCCTCCCTCAGGATCCACGGAAAGATGTTATCCGGCCCCATAGCCTTTGTGGTATCTAGTTTGCTTAGCAGCATCTTCACCTGTTCCTCAGTTGTATGTATTGTGTTCACCACTTAATGGTGTACCCCACCTCTCTGTCTTTCTGGAGTCCTTTCTGTCTTCTCTCTGAACACTTCTTTGAATCTCATGTTGAGCTCCTCACATACTTCGCGGTCATTTCTTGTGATCTCCCCTCCTTCCTTCCTTCCTCAGCCTGTTGCTTTCTTCCTGATGTGGCTGTACAACAGCTTCGGGTCAGATTTGACTTTTGCTGCTATGCCATTTTCATATTGTCGTTGGGCCTCCCTTCATATCTGTGCATATTCATTTCTGGCTCTGTGATTTCTCTCCTCATTCTCCTGGGTCCTTTGCCGTCTATACTTTTTCCATTCTCTAGTACACTTGGTTTTGGCCTCACTACACCTTTGGGTGAACCAAGGGCTCATCCTGGCTTTCTCATTGTTTCTGTTACCCTTGGGTACAAACTTCTCCCCAGCTTCCTTACATATTGTTGTTACATACTCCGTCATCTTGTTTACTGACTTCCCTGCCAGTTCTTTGTTCCACTGAACCCCGTGCAGGAAATTCTTCATGCCTGTGTAGTCCCCTCTCTTGTAACTTGGCTTCTTTCGTCCTGCTCTTCCGGCTTCCCTTTCCACTTGTAACTCCTATGTATTCGAAGCTCAGATTATTATTATAATCAAGGGGAAGCGCTAAACCCGTAGGATTATACAGCGCCTCGAAGCTCAGAATCACGTGATCACTGGCCTCAAAGGGTCTTTCATATGTGACGTCCTCAATATCTGCACTACTCAAGGTGAATACTAGGTCCAGTCTCGCTGGTTCATCTTTTCCTCTCTCTCTGGTAGTGTTGGTACATGAGGTTTTCCAGTACCTCCTCCACCATATTAGCCCTCCACGTTTCTGGGTCCCCACATGGCTCCAGGTTCTCCAAGTCAATTTCCTTGTGGTTGAAGCCACCCATAATCAGCAGCTTTGCCCTGCTCGCATGAGCCCTTCTGGCCACTTCAGCCAGTGTGTCAACCATTGCTCTCTTACTCTCATCATACTTTTGCCTTGGCCTCCTGCTGTTCTGTTGTTGGTTATACATCACTGCATTTACCACCTTGGGACCTCCAGACTGAAGTGTTCCTATTATGTAGTGTCTTGCTCCTCCTCTGTCTCCTCTCTCCAGCTCATCAAAATCCCATCAGTTTTTTATGAGCAGTGCCACTCCTCCACCCCCTCTGTTCCCTCTCTCTTTCCTTAGCATCTGATATCCCTTTGGAAATGTGGCATCTGTTATTCCTGTGATCTTGGTTTCTGTGAGAGCTATGATGTCTCTTGATGCCTCTGACTCTTTTGTGCCACTCCTCCCACTTACTTCTTATTCCATAGGGGTTGGCATACCATTTCTTCAGTTTCCTCTCCAACACTGTTCTGGGGGTCTGTGAGGGTGGGGCACCTGGCAGCGTGCTGTAGGATTCTATAGAATAGTGTGGGGTGGGGGCTGTATGTGTGGATTGTGGTTTGTGTTGGGATAGCGTGTTTGGTTGTGGGGTTCTGGGGTGGTGCTGTGTGTGCTTGTGCTTGTTGCTTTGCCCTGCTCTGGTTGTCCTCTGCTTATTCTGTCCTTGTCTCTCTTCCTAGCCCCTTTCGCTTCTGTGTCATCTCCCTCAGCTGCTGTCATTCAGTTTTTGTTCTGTCTCTGTCTCGGAACACCCTCTTGTATGTTGACAATTCGTACAGCTGTGGTTTCTCTTACAAGATCCTGTTTTGCACTGTCTCTGTCTCGAAAATCAGCTTGACCAGCCAATTTCTCCCCTTCAAATACCCCCTTATTCTATGAAAATTTACTTTCTCAGTCATGTCCTCCTTGCCTATTTCTTTGATGTTTTCAATCTCCTGTTTTTCTTCCTGCTGTCTTTCACTGTGTCTTCCCCTCACTCTCCTGAAGCCCATGAATAAACACTGACCTCTCCCTCTCCTCCTCCCATTGCCTTTCCCTCTGTGTCTCTGGGTTCCATTGGTACATGGCTATTATCTCCCTTATTTTTTCTGTTGCTCTTGGTAGCATGGTCGTGCCTTTGCATGTGACCTACCCCCTCTCCTTCTCCCCCCTCCCTTACTACTATTGCTGCTCCCAGCTGCTCTCCCCCTTCATTCATCAACCCTGCTTGGTGGACTTATAGGGCCTTAGCCTAAGTTATGTCTCCTTTTCCGTTGGGCTCCTCATTCAGTAGGGGTGTACCAGCTTCAGATGCTATGTCTCCTCTGGGCAATAACCCTGTAGGTAGATAAGACACATAGGCAACATTTAGGCAACTTCATTTCAAAACGTTTCGCCTATGCAGTAGGCTTCTTCAGTCGAGTACAGAAAGTAGGCAGGAGCAGTAGAGATGTGAAGACGATGTAATCAGTCCATCACCCTTGAAGTCGTAGATTTGAGGTTGTCAGTCCCTCAGCCTGGAGAAGTTCTATTCCAAAGTCTGGAACTAACTGAAGATCAAGCGACAGTGTTGAGACTTAAATACTGTCGGAAGGAGAGGTGCAGAGTAGTAGTAGTAGTGAGAATGTAGCCACTGAGAGGTCATGTCCCTCTCAGATCAAACATTTTGATATTCAATAACCCTGTAACTTGCTTCAGCCTATTTACCTCATATTCTAGGGCCCTTATCCTGGCTTCTGCAGCTTGTGACTCCCATTTCTCCTTCTCCTTCTCCTCCTCCTCCTCCTCTTTTCCAATTTTACAGAAATCTCTGACTCACCTAGTTTGTTCTCCCACTCTTGTTCCATCCTTTTACATTGCTCTTCCATCCATTCTTCCATCCATTCCTTCCATCCATTTTCCTCTGATCCCCTGAGCTTTTGACTTCCCTTCTGAGCCACCATTTTTTTATGGGTTAGGTGTTGTAGTGTGTGTCGGGGGGAAGGGGAGCTGTAAGGGGTAGAGAGATGGGAACAGTGATGGAGAGGTGGAGATAGAGTGGGAAGGGAGACAGAGGGAGAGGGAGACACACACAGACAGGGTAGGTGTTGTAATGTGTGTTGTTTGTGTGTATGTTGTTTGTTTGTTTGTTTGTGTGTGTGTGTGTGTGTGTGTGTGTGTGTGTGTGTGTGTGTGTGTGTGTGTGTGTGTGTGTGTGTGTAAACACAAAAACTTAACATACCCAACAATGGGATGCTGGAAATTCAATGCTTGTTCTCTTTTGTTCATACTATGTTGCATATACGGCTGAAGACGGAACATGTACTTGAGGAACTGGCCGAGCCACCAAGCGCCTGGGTTACCATGTAGATGTATCAGTCTCTCAGAGATGTCCCTCGGGATGGCCAGAGGCATGTGTTGTGGTTTTGGTTCTGGTTCTTCGGGCATTGGAAACTCCACTATCTGTGTGTCTTTGTTTCCTGTATAAATATAAAAAAATTCTGCTGTTTATGAACGCTTATTTTTTTTTGTCAGATATGTCTTTACCACTCAAATTTTTTAATAAACTGGAATAATGTATAAGACGCTTTAAAACCACAACCATTTCCAAAAGAGCGCCTTAGCAATAGAGTTGCTGCAATAAAATTAATCAATTGTTGCACACGTGTCTTTTACCCAACATATTGCTGGCTCTTTATTCTACAACTCAAGACTACAACTCACGACTGTTCATCGTTTGTCCACACTTCCCCACTCACCCACCGGAGTCCCAACAGAAGAGCCTGCTATGTGTGTTCTCAATGTCTGTCCCACGATCGACTTAGCTGCTGGGTTAAGCCCTGGCTCTATTTCTACTACTAAGAACACTCCTCTCCAGCACTATTCTTCGTCTGTCCCGCCTTCCCCGCTCATCCCATTTGGGATCTTACCTGAACTTTCGTTCGTTCGTTCGTTCCTATGCTGTACATTCTACAAGATTGATGGACTGAACACATCGACTCCAGGTTGAGGGACTGATTACCTCATTCTCCTCCTCTCCTTACGCCTTCCTCTTTGTATTGGACTGATGAAGCCACTGTGTGGCGAAACGTTTCCTGAATAAAGATTTCCATATGCTGCATAAGTGTCTCAATCTTCAACTTGTCGGTTTTTCAAACCATTCATCACATATTGCTGGTAATTTTGCCAACATTATTACACGATCATAAATATGACCATGAAATGCAGAAATATGTAAAAACAAGACTTCTCAAGTACCTGCATCCCTAAACATGCTCTTTCCTTGGTGAAAAGGATCAGAATAAAAAATATGATCGATCAAAAACTGGGAATATCTCTCTCGATCACAAATAATCACAACATACGAGTATATACGTTTGTTAGTTTCATGTCAAGCAAATATATTTCACAGAGTGGTTGTGATGCGTCATTTTCAGTTTGAAAACTGTAATAAAGTTGGTAGAATTACCGACAATATGTAAAGTAAAAGGACACAAGTGCAACTAATGTGACATTTATTGTGGCAACGTTTCGCTCTCCAGGAGCTTTATCAAGCCATTACAAACAATACATGGACACAGAGGGTATATAAAGGCTCAGAGTGAGGTGAATACTAGTGAGGTACCATTTCGATGTTCACTAGTGGTAGTAGTAGTAGTAGTAGTAGTAGTGGTAGTGACAAAAGTAATACAATATGGTAGAGCAATTAATTCGTACATGAGTAAAAGGATATAAAAGCTATTACTTGGGTAACATAAAAATAGGTTGGACAAATATAAACTGGAACGAGGCAGCTTGTTTCAGTGTTCACTCTCTGTGCTTTGTGTAGTATAACAGGAGAGACTATGTGATGGCAGGGTTTACTGTTTTCAGGAGGATTCTTGCTAAGACTTCTAGCAAGAATCCTCCTGAAAACAGTAAACCCTGCCATAACATAGTCTCTCCTGTTATACTACACAAAGCACAGAGAGTGAACACTGAAACAAGCTGCCTCATTCCAGTTTATATTTGTCCAACCTATTTTTATGTTACCCAAGTAATAGCTTTTATATCCTTTTACTCATGTACGAATTAATTGCTCTACCATATTGTATTACTTTTGTCACTACCACTACTACTACTACTACTACTACTACCACTAGTGAACATCGAAATGGTACCTCACTAGTATTCACCTCACTCTGAGCCTTTATATACCCTCTGTGTCCATGTATTGTTTGTAATGGCTTGATAAAGCTCCTGGAGAGCGAAACGTTGCCACAATAAATGTCACATTAGTTGCACTTGTGTCCTTTTACTTTACAGTTTGAAAACTGAGTTGATAGTTTCTAGAACTGCAGACACATTCATCACTTTCAAAACTACAGTTAGAAAACATCTTATCTCCCTGAAACACCCCGTCAACTAACTACATGAAAACCACCTGGTGGTTCACAATTACACTCACTCACCCATTGACTATAAACACAGAAATACGAATCTTAATCTTAAAATAATGAATCCTAACTAGTCATAAGTTTGCCTATGATACTCCAATATAGACACTATGTATTGTGCCAAAACAAAAGCATTCACATTGCTAAACTCACAAACTATACTGTAGTCACTTAGCCCTAATACCATAATCTGTAATAATTTAAAGTTAAGAATTAATCTAAGTCTGCCCGAAATTCCTAGCCATGCTAGGTGTCCTAGTGGCCCCCTCTGTAATTAGTATTTTAAAACATGTAAACCACACAATATCCAAAATCTGTAAACCCCGCATTGTAATCCTTATAGAGAATAAATTTGATTGATTGATTGATTGATTGATAAACAAGGAAAACGTATGTTTATTCCTCTGACTCAAATAATGGTCATGTTCTAATTTTCCATTTTTTTCTGTCCTTTCTCTAAGAACCTTTTTTTTTTAATTATAATTCTGTAAGCATTTGCATTTGCCATAATTTATTCAATGGGCATTGTTGAATTTATGATTCAGTGGCACTTACAAATATTTATCTATTAACTTTGACATTATTAACTTTTATTTTGACAGAGAAGCTTAGGGATTAAACAGCCCTTGAATAAATGGGAGGTAATCACTTTTGATCTAAGGAATGGTAGGATAGCTCCAGTTCCTTTAATTAAGAGCACTTTGCTAGCATCAGCATAAGTACTAAAACTTTATGCAGCTGCTCAGAGGAAGGTTGTTGGTCTCTGTATTACACTTCTCAGACACAGGAACAACTATTTGGTTTCCATTACAAGAACATGTGCAGCTTAACTGAAGCTAAGATTAATATATACAAAATTGTTCTAATATTTAAAAAAAAATTATTTTTCAACGATTTTTTTTTAGTTTCAGAATTTTTGTACTCATTTGTGCAAAGATGTGTTAAAATGAAGTTACATTTTAACCCTTACAGCCTACCAACCTTCGTGAGTAAATTCTGCCAAAGAAGCACAACACACCAACATGTCTTACCAGGCCACGACACACCAACATGTCTTACTAGGCCACGACACACCAACACTTCTTACCAGGCCACGACACCAACACGTCTTACTAGGCCACGACACCAACACGTCTTACCTGGCCACGACACCAACACGTCTTACCAGGCCACGACACACCAACATGTCTTACCAGGCCACGACACACCAACACGTCTTACCAGGCCACGACACCAACACGTCTTACCAGGCCACGACACCAACACGTCTTACTAGGCCACGACACACCAACACGTCTTACCAGGCCACAACACCAACACGTCTTACCTGGCCACGACACACCAACACGTCTTACTAGGCCACGACACACCAACACGTCTTACCTGGCCACGACACACCAACACGTCTTACCTGGCCACGACACACCAACACGTCTTACCTGGCCACGACACACCAACACGTCTTACCTGGCCACGACACACCAACACGTCTTACCTGGCCACGACACACCAACACGTCTTACTAGGCCACAACACACCAACATGTCTAACCAGGCCACAACACACCAACACGTCTTACCTGGCCACGACACACCAACACGTCTTACCTGGCCACGACACACCAACACGTCTTACCTGGCCACGACACACCAACACGTCTTACCTGGCCACGACACACCAACACGTCTTACCTGGCCACGACACCAACACGTCTTACCAGGCCACGACACACCAACACGTCTTACTAGGCCACGACACACCAATACGTCTTACCAGGCCACGACACACCAACACGTCTTACCTGGCCACGACACACCAACACGTCTTACCTGGCCACGACACACCAACACGTCTTACCTGGCCACGACACACCAACACGTCTTACCAGGCCACGACACCAACACGTCTTACCAGGCCACGACACCAACACGTCTTACTAGGACACGACACACCAACACGTCTTACTAGGCCACAACACACCAACACGTCTTATCTGGCCACGACACAAGAACACGTTTTACCAGGCCACGACACACCAACACGTCTTACCTGGCCACGACACACCACGTCTTACCTGGCCACGACACACCAACACGTCTTACTAGGCCACGACACACCAACACGTCTCACCTGGCCACGACACACCAACACGTCTTACTAGGCCACGACACACCAACACGTCTTACCTGGCCACGACACACCAACACGTCTTACCAGGCCACGACACACCAACACGTCTCACCTGGCCACGACACACCAACACGTCTTACTAGGCCACGACACACCAACACGTCTTACCAGGCCACGACACACCAACACGTCTTACCAGGCCACGACACACCAACACGTCTTACCAGGCCACGACACACCAACACGTCTTACCTGGCCACGACACACAAACACGTCTCACCTGGCCACGACACGCCAACACGTCTTACCAGGCCACGATACACCAACACGTCTTACTAGGCACGACACACCGACACGTCTTACCAGGCCACGATACACCAACACGTCTTAAAAGGCCACGACACACCACCACGTCTTACCTGGTCACGACACACAAACACGTCTTACCAGGCCACGACACACCAACACGTCTTACTAGGCCACGACACACCAACACGTCTTACTAGGCCACGACACACCAACACGTCTTACTAGGCCACGACACACCAACACGTCTTACTAGGCCACGACACACAAACACGTCTTACCTGGCCACGACACACCAACACGTCTTACTAGGCCACGACACACCAACACGTCTTACTAGGCCACGACTCACCAACACGTCTTACTAGGCCACAACACACCAACACGTCTTACCTGGCCACGACACACAAACACGTCTTACGAGGCCACGACACACCAACACGTCTTACCAGGCCACGAGACACCAACACGTCTTACTAGGCCACGACACACCAACACGTCTTACTAGGCCACGACTCACCAACACGTCTTACTAGGCCACGATACACCAACAAGTCTTACTAGGCCACGACACACCAACACGTCTTACTAGGCCACGACACACCAACACGTCTTACTAGGCCACAACACACCAACACGTCTTATCTGGCCACGACACACCAACACGTCTTACCAGGCCACGACACACCAACACGTCTTACCTGGCCACGACACACCAACACGTCTTACCTGGCCACGACACACAAACACGTCTTACTAGGCCACGACACACCAACACGTCTCACCTGGCCACGACACACCAACACGTCTTACTAGGCCACGACACACAAACACGTCTTACCTGGCCACGACACACCAACACGTCTTACCAGGCCACGACACACCAACACGTCTTACCAGGCCACGACACACCAACACGTCTTACCAGGCCACGACACACCAACACGTCTTACTAGGCCACGACACACCAACACGTCTTACCTGGCCACAACACACCAACACGTCTTACCTGGCCACGACACACCAACACGTCTTACTAGGCCACGACACACCAACACGTCTTACTAGGCCACGACACACCAACACGTCTTACTAGGCCACGATACACCAACAAGTCTTACTAGGCCACGACACACCAACACGTCTTACTAGGCCACGACACACCAACACTTCTTACTAGGCCACGACACACCAACACGTCTTACTAGGCCACAACACACCAACACGTCTTATCTGGCCACGACACACCAACACGTCTTACCAGGCCACGACACACCAACACGTCTTACCTGGCCACGACACACCAACACGTCTTACCTGGCCACGGCACACAAACACGTCTTACTAGGCCACGACACACCAACACGTCTCACCTGGCCACGACACACCAACACGTCTTACTAGGCCACGACACACAAACACGTCTTACCTGGCCACGACACACCAACACGTCTTACCAGGGCACGACACACCAACACGTCTTACCAGGCCACGACACACCAACACGTCTTACTAGGCCACGACACACCAACACGTCTTACCAGGCCACGACACACCAACACGTCTTACCAGGCCACGACACACCAACACGTCTTACTAGGCCACGACACACCAACACGTCTTACCTGGCCACAACACACCAACACGTCTTACCAGGCCACGACACACCAACACGTCTTACCTGGCCACGACACACCAAAACGTCTTACTAGGCCACGACACACCAACACGTCTTACCAGGCCACGACACACCAACACGTCTTACCTGGCAACGACACACCAACACGTCTTACCAGGCCACAACACACCAACACGTCTTACCAGGCCACAACACACCAACACGTCTTACCTGGCCACGACACACCAACCCGTCTTACCAGGCCACGACACACCAACACGTCTTACTAGGCCACAACACACCAACACGTCTTACCAGGCCACAACACACCAACACGTCTTACCAGGCCACAACACACCAACACGTCTTACTAGGCCACAACACACCAACACGTCTTACCAGGCCACGACACACAAACACGTCTTACCAGGCCACAACACACCAACACGTCTTACCAGGCCACAACACACCAACACGTCTTACCTGGCCACGACACACCAACACGTCTTACCAGGCCACGACACACCAACACGTCTTACCAAGCCACGACACACCAACACGTCTTACCTGGCCACAACACACCAACACGTCTTACCAGGCCACAACACACCAACACGTCTTACTAGGCCACAACACACCAACACGTCTTACCTGGCCACGACACACCAACACGTCTTACTAGGCCACGACACACCAACACGTCTTACCAGGCCACGACACACCAACACGTCTTACCTGGCCACGACACACCAACACGTCTTACCAGGCCACGACACACCAACACGTCTTACTAGGCCACGACACACCAACACGTCTTACCAGGCCACGACACCAACACGTCTTACCAGGCCACAACACACCAACACGTCTTACCAGGCCACGACACACCAACACGTCTTACTAGGCCACAACACACCAACACGTCTTACCAGGCCACGACACACCAACACGTCTTACCAGGCCACAACACACCAACACGTCTTACCAGGCCACGACACACCAACACGTCTTACCAGGCCACAACACACCAACACGTCTTACTAGGCCACAACACACCAACACGTCTTACTAGGCCACAACACACCAACACGTCTTACCAGGCCACAACACGCTAACACGTCTTACCAGGCCAAAACACACCAACACGTCTTACCAGGCAACGACACACCAACACGTCTTACCAGGCCACAACACACCAACACGTCTTACCAGGCCACAACACGCCAACACGTCTTACCTGGCCACGACACACCAACACGTCTTACCAGGCCACGACACACCAACACGTCTTACTAGGCCACAACACACCAACACGTCTTACCAGGCCACAACACACCAACACGTCTTACCAGGCCACAACACACCAACACGTCTTACTAGGCCACAACACACCAACACGTCTTACCAGGCCACGACACACAAACACGTCTTACCAGGCCACAACACACCAACACGTCTTACCAGGCCACAACACACCAACACGTCTTACCAGGCCAAGACACACCAACACGTCTTACCAGGCCACGACACACCAACACGTCTTACTAGGCCACGACACACCAACACGTCTTACCAGGCCACGACACACCAACACGTCTTACCTGGCCACGACACACCAACACGTCTTACCAGGCCACAACACACCAACACGTCTTACCAGGCCACAACACACCAACACGTCTTACTAGGCCACAACACACCAACACGTCTTACCTGGCCACGACACACCAACACGTCTTACTAGGCCACGACACACCAACACGTCTTACCAGGCCACGACACACCAACACGTCTTACCTGGCCACTACACACCAACACGTCTCACCAGGCCACGACACACCAACACGTCTTACTAGGCCACGACACACCAACACGTCTTACTAGGCCACGACACCAACACGTCTTACCAGGCCACAACACACCAACACGTCTTACCAGGCCACGACACCAACACGTCTTACCAGGCCACAACACACCAACACGTCTTACCAGGCCACAACACACCAACACGTCTTACCAGGCCACTTGACAACTGTATCATTGGAGATAGTCGTGCATGTGTTGCTTAAAGGGAGGAAAATCTCCTCCCAGCCTCTGGAGGAGTAATTCCAGTCATCAGATTTGAGGATTAAAGTTCGGTGGGTGCCATAGGCTGTCATGAAGCAATAGAGAACGTGATGAATTTCGCAACCCAGACCGCAATCCTGTGGGAAGGTGATGCGTCAGTGTGGTAGCTGGGAATGAAGAAGCTACATGTACTAGTGAGAATATTCTGGTGAGAATATCCGCTTACTGTGCAAATACAGAACATCTGATCAAAGCCCTTGCAAGATACTAACCGGGATTTTGACGGATTTTGAGAGTTTTCCTATTTCCGCAGTGGATCTAGTAGCCACAGTTTAGGCTCTTGCATTTTTTCTATTTTTTTTTCTCTTATTTGGGCCTCATGAAGGATACCTGGTAATTATGGAAAACTTTGCCAGCCGTTGCTTCCCTATCCATTTTATCATATGCCTTTTCTAAATCCATGAAAGCAAAGAAAACTTCCCTATGCTACAACGTAAACACTTGGTCTATACATCCCCTAAGATTTCTAAAGCCTCCGTGTTCATCTGCAATCCTGCTCTCAATCTCACGTTTAATTCTTTAAATAATAACCCTGCCACACTTTACCTGGTATAGTCAGTAGGCTTATTCCATTATAATTTTTTTGCTCTCTTTTATCCCTGTTTCCTTTAAGCAGAGCCGGCAAATTTGGCCTATTCGATAAGGGTGTTTTCTGCCAGATTAGCAGAATGAAAATTTGTTTTTGCTATGAGCAGAAATTAATGTGAACGTAACGGAAAAAATAATCATTGATTTTAAGTAGTATTAAATAAATTTATACTGATGTATGTTATACATAGCAGAATTTAGCTAAAAAAAATTACGTTAAAGTTAGGTCAGCTGAAGTTTCTAAGTTGGTCCAAAAATAAAGCATACATCATTGTCAATGAAAAAAATATATCTATCAGTATTAATGAAATCACGAAACAAGTGATTTTGAATTATTAACATAACTGCGGATAGCTGGGATTCGATCCAGCATCACCATGTCCAGCTCGGTGAGAATAGTAAAACGTACGCATCGCTCTAACCACTGGACCATCAATTCTCAAACACCAGGCTCCCAGTGGACTCAGAGATTAATATCAGTCTAATCCCGTTTGAGTACCAGCCTTCACGAGCAGTCTGCATATTAACGAAATCACGAAACAACTGATTTTGAATCATTAACAGAACTGCGGCTAGCCGGTAGATTTACCAACTAGATTTAAATTTAGATTTTATTTACATTTATATATGTATTTGTCTTTTATAGAGGATGAGGAAAGCGGAACCTTACCCTGTTCAGTTTACAAAGTAATTTCTTTGCTGTGGCACAGTCCTTTGGATTCTGCAGACGATGTAGTCGGTTCTGTACCAGAACACTCAGCTCCCTGGCCTCTTGCTCTCTCCTGCTGGCCTCCCCGTTCAACTGACTCAGCAGCCACACGTCGGACTGAAGCACTCTGTTGGCGAACACAAGCTGAGTCTCACGAATTTCACTATGTGCTCAACCAGCAAGTGGAATAAGAAAGATATGTAAGAGAGAGAGAGAGAGAGAGAGAGAGAGAGAGAGAGAGAGAGAGAGAGAGAGAGAGAGAGAGAGAGAGAGAGAGAGAGAGAGAGAGAAAGAGAGAGAGAAAGAGAGAAAGAAAGAGAAAGAGAAAGAAAGAGAGAAAGAGAAAAAGAAAAAGAGAGAAAGAGAGAGAGAGAAAAGAAGAGAGAGAGAAAGAGAGAGAGAAAGAGAGAGAGAAAGAGGAGAGAGAGAGAAAGAGAGAGAGAGAGAGAGAGAGAGAGAGAGAGAGAGAGAGAGAGAGAGAGAGAGAGAGAGAGAGAGAGAGAGAGAGAGAGAGTAGTAGTAGTAGTAGTAGTAGTAGTAGTAGTAAAGGCAGTGTAAGATATAGAAATTACAAAAAATATGCAAATAATCAGCACACAGGAGAGAGTAGGAGCTTACGACGACGTTTCGGTCCGACACTGACAATGTGACAGTGTGGCTTTGTAAACGGTCCACGTCGGACCGAAACGTCGTCGTAAGCTACTCTATCCTATGGGCGGGTTATTTGTGTACCGTTCCAGTCACTTTATTGTGCCTTTTTTGTTCCTAACAGAAAAGAAGTTTAACACAAAAAAAGATCTAGAACACTACTATTAGTTGGCTGCCAAATACCGAAGTGACGGAAAAGAAAAGAGGCCCCGATTAGGAGGTGAAGAAACAGTAGTACTAGTAGTAGTAGTAATCTACAGTTCCGCACCGAACAGTAGAAGACCTAGACACGAGAGCAACAGGAATAAGGTAATCACCAAAGAGAGCTTACTGGACCAACACAACAGTAATAACGATGATTAGAAATTTAGGTTTTAACCTCTGAAGAGCCTAGTTTATTGTGCGCCCCCTCTTCCCTACCATTCAATCTTGAGGATGGTGACTCTAGAATGGATGTCCAAAAGATCTAGAACTATTCAGTGCATTTGAGAACCTGATTAAAAAAGATATTTCATCTGTAACAAGAAAATTTAGGATTTGCTTAAAATATCTGGCGTCTTATTTTAACTAATAAAATACCGTTATATTAATATTATGGCTTACGAAAACAATCCATTTCGAACCTTTGTAAGTTTACTGTAATATGAGATGAGAAATTTTCAGGCCTTATTTAATTACGCTAGAAAATTCTGAAATTTGCACCTACACAGCCTAAAACTAGTCAATTTTCTTTGTACCTACCTATATCAGCCTATAAATATTCAAGCCATTCAGAAGTAGCATTCTCAATTGATCGCACAGAAAAAAATACAACTCAATTTTTAAAATAAGCTGAAAATCCTGTATAAGACAGGTACAGCTGTGGTTAAGGACGCGTGAACAAACACCAAGTCAGTTTTCTTATGGATTTGTCCAGGTGTTGGGACTCAATTATTATAATCAAACTAAGCACTAAACCCACAAGGGTCATACAGCACTGGCTGGGGACTGAAATTTATCCATGATAAAGCATCCTAGGTGTTTGCTCATGTCTTTAATTTTTAGAACAAAATGGACAGATTTAATCTTCAACTGAGCAGCATGCACCAACATCGAAAAGTTTGAAGCCAGTCAAAAAAGGCATTTGTAACTTCAAACGCAGAAATTTCTACAACTAGCACTTGCACATTTCTTTAATATGACCGTTTATCTAAGTAATATACAAAAGCGTCGAAAGTTTGAAGCCTACCAGAAATGGCATCCTCAAGTTATCGAAGAAAAATTAAAAAAAAAAAAAAAAAACTTACACCTATAGGTAACCTCTTTTAGGAAAATTCACACTAATTACTTCATGCGTTCGGCGCCTTCCTTCATGATGGCTTCAAAATCAAACTGGTTCATTTTCCAGTTCCTCGACTGCAGATCTTTCATATGGTTGGAGAAGAAGAACCAAGCGTCCCTCAAGTTGGTCTCTACCAACCGCCGCGTCACCTCAGAGTCACCAGACACATTAAAGTCGTGAGATCCAGCACATGGTAACGGGATGCTGGTAACTTTTTGGCTGTTATCGTCCTGAGTGAAGTTTACCTCCAACATGCTCGCATCAAGTTCATCCCATTTCGTTAGTGCCCTGAAATGGAAAAAAATATTTTAAACACCTTTGTGACTTGTGATTTTGCTTTCCATGTGTGTACCCTTGTATTTGCTCCTCGTATGTTAATATTTCTGTTTTATCCGCCCTTTCAATAAATTTGAGTATTTTATTAATAGTAATCGTGTTCTTCTTGCCCTCCTCACTTCCAGGGTTATTAGTTCAAATTCCTTTAGTCTTTCCCTATATTGTGTAGTATACTCACCTGATTGTACTGATTGTAGTTGCAGGGGTCGAGACTCAGCTCGTGGCCCCGCCTCTTCACTGAACGCAAACCTTTGCACTTTCTCTAATTTCTTGCCGTGCTTGACCAGGTGTGGGTTCCAAACTGGTGCTGCATACTCCAGTATGGGCCTAACGTACACAGTGTAGTGTCTTGAATTATTCCTTACTAAGGTATCGGAACGTTATTCTCAGGTTTGCCAGGCGCCCATATGTTGCAGCAGTTATCTGGTTGATGTGTGCTGGGTGTTATACTCACCCCAAGATCTTTCTCCTTGAGTGAGGTTTGCAGTCTTTGGCCACCTAGCCTATACTCCGTCTGTGGTCTTCTTTGCCCTTCCCGATCTTCATGACTTTGCATTTGACAGGGTTAAATTCGAGAAGCCAGTTGCTGGACCAGGTGTCCAGTCTGTCCAGGTCTCTTTGAAGTCCTGCCTGATCCTCATCTGATTTAATTCTCCTCATTAACTTCACATCATGTGCGAACAAGGACACTTCTGGCTCCTATTATTATAATAAAAGAAGAAGTACTAAACTCTCAACTCCTAGCACCACGTTTCCCTAGACAGTTACTAGGTTGCCTCTCCCCTAGCTTTATGAGCCATATCATACACATTCTTAAACTGATGTACAGTTCTGCCTCTACTACCTTGATGTCTAAGTTGTTCAACTTCTTGACTAAGACTAAAGAAACATTTCGTAATATCCCTGTGAATCATCTGCGTCTTTTGTTTTCAGCTGTGCCCTCGTGTACCAGATTCCCACCACTCGAACAGTCTGCCATACGCGCACACACGCACACGCACACGCACACACACGCACACACACACACGCACACAAACACACACACACACACACACACACACACACAAACACACGCACACACACACACACACACTGTTCACCATGTACGTTAGGCCTATATTGGAGTATGCATCACCAGTTTGGACCCCACACCTAACCAAGCACGTAAGGAAACTAGAGAAAGTGCAAAGGTTTGCAACATGGCTAGTCTCGGAGCTAAGGGGCATGTCCGACGAGGAGAGGTTACGGGGAATCGACCTGACGACACTGGAGGACAGGAGAGAGAGGTGGGATATGATAACGACATATAAAATACTGAGAGGAATCGACAAGGTGGACAGAAACAGGATATTCCAGAGATGGGATACAGCAACAAGGGGTCATAGTTGGAAGTTGAAGACTCATGAATCACAGGGATGTTAAGAAGTATTTCTTCAGTCACAGAGTTGTCAGGAAGTGGATTAGTGCGATAAGTGATGTAGTGGAGGCAGGATCCATACATAGCTTTAAAAAGTGGTATGATAAAGCTCATGGAGCAGTGAAAAGGCGGGGCCAGGAGCTATGACTCGACCCCTGCAACCACAATTAGGTGAGTACACACACACACACACACACACACACACACACACACACACACACACACACACACACACACACACACACACCTACACACCCACACATCACACACACACACACACACATCACACACATATCACACACACACACACACACTTTTCAAAGGACTCTGGGAGAGTTCCAGCATGCCTTAGCTTACCATGAATCATCGTAGGTGATGGAGAACCAGAAAAGGTACAGGAGGAGCAGAGTTGCAACAACACCCACCACCAACACTGCACTCACCCACTTTACTCGCGTCTCGAAAATCTGCAGACATTATGGTAAGATGTACATGAATGGTATATAATACAGACAAGATGAAGAATTCTTTAGTGAGGTAAATATTATTACAGAGCTGGAAAGGCTACAGAGAGTAGACTGGGAGTTTTAGAAACATTTAATTATGATTTTTGTATATATAGGTGGGCAGCGTGCAGCAGAGTTTAGTAACCACACCACTTGGGTTTGATGATAATGATGGTGGATTAATAGCTTACGTGTTGGAAGATTCAGGACGTCTCAATCCTACCCCCACTTTCATTCTCCTTTTTAAACAGCGTGTATCTTAAGACTGTCTGTGACATTTTTCAGTCATCACAAGCACTGCCGGACCTTGATTCCAAACAAATACATTTATGTCGTGGTTTTACAGGCACTGCTTGATTTCTTGGCTTTAAGCAAACAGGAGTAAATTCAACGTTGCAAAAAAAAAAAAAAAAAAAAAAAAGTTGAAACAGTACAGAATTAACATATTTCACTGATGTTAAGTAATACTCACTAAATTTCGCCTTACTACGACAGGTTGGATATGATTAAGCTAAAATATATTACCTTTTTTGTTAGCCCCAGCTTAGGAACTGTAATGAGGGAAGGTGTCGGGGTCTGGGTTCGGAGTCTGGCTGGTCTTGATGAAGTATCCTAGGATAATGCTACCAAATGATGTTGTTAATTTAAGTGTATTCACGTTTCTCAGTCAATTATATTCTCTGAATGTCTCTGGTATTCATATTCTTTCTCGTGAATAAATTATTGAATCCCTGCGGCCATTGCACTGATTTAAGTGTAGAATTTTTCATTGTTTCAGCTGTATAATAAAACACTAATGTAAATTTTGATTTTAATCAGTAAATGTACAAGACCTTTATTTCTTTTAATTACTCCCACTTATTATTATCCCTGACTCTCCCTAATTAATATTAATCTATTTGTATCATTAACTTCATGCATTAAAATGGGTCATCCAGAAGTGATGAGAGGAGACTGAGTGGTACTTATTAAGTGGTAATCCACTTAAATGGATGTTTTAAGCGACGGAAATACTAGTAAAGGTTTTTAGTTTTCAGTTATCTATTCTCAGATGTCTTGGGAATGTTTAAATTTCCTTGGTATATACGTTTTGTAAGTGAAATTGTAATTAAATGCTAAAGTGGCGAAATGCTTCAAAATCTTCGGCTGAAGGATAAATTATATATATATAAAAAAAAACAGAAAAAAACTTACCGTATGAGAGAGTGAGGGTAGCAATGTCCTGTATTTCCACCTTCGATAACTCACACCCATTGTTGAGCACTACGGGGACCTGCTGACTGGCTACTCTTTTTACCTCACACACCTGGAATTCATAACCTCACACTTCCCTGTCGCATATTATACACGTTAGTGAAGAACCGAAAAAGGAAGTACGACGCTGAGTGCGTGAATTGAGAGAAACAGAATTGACGTCCGTCTCCAGGACACTAAACAGAGGAGAGCGCATGAACAACTATTGACTGACTACTTCTGAAGTCTAGCAAAGTACTGATACTGACAGTGTTGCCAGATCTACCCGGAGGGTACCTGAAAGGTATTCTAGTGAAGAAAATGTTAACATGAATGCCAGTTCCCCAACACCTGTACTCATAATGCAGACATATGCTCACTGTATCATTTAGGTTAGGTAGAATTCGTCAGAAAACAAGACAAGTGTTTCCTGAAGCATGTCCTGGTCATTTGATGACAGTCCACCGAAAAGCTTTCGGTCATCTGACTGAGGCCTACACACACACACACACACACACACACACACATATCATAGTATGGAGATCGACTTTATAGAACATAAATGGTCTGGCTCGTTCTTGATGTCTCTGCTTGTTAACGGATTCGCATGCCTAACCATGTCTCTTGTTTCTCAGCAGTGTTGATGTTGCTGAGTTCACAGTGTTGTGAGTCATTCCCAGGTGATCACAGCCATCCTCCCTTCCTCACTTACTGCATGCACTTCATAGTAGAGAGGGAAAAAACAAAAGCGCACGAACACACCCACACACACACACACACACCCACACACACACACACACCCACACACACACACACACACACACACACACACACACACACACACACACACACACACACACACACACACACACATATATATATATATATATATATATATATATATATATATATATATATATATATATATATATATATATAGGTGACTCAGAACATCAGCACTATGAAGCAATCTAATCATTAATAACAAGTAATGACAAAAGGTTCAATTTAAGTTTGAGCAATTAGTATTTTCAAGTTCACTAAAAGAATCAGAGAAAATGGCTAGGCTATAAGTTGAAACTGACACGACAGCTTAGTAACATCTAAAATACCTAGAAACATGATAACTGTTTGGAACTTTCTTCACACTGATACCAGGTTTGTTGAGGTGCGTTAACAACCTCTCCATTACTAGGAAGTAATTGTCTTTTTTTTTCCTTCTTGTTGCTTGAGGTACTTCAACTTTTGAGGTCATCAGCGCCACTCTTCCCTCTAGCATGTGCGCTTCGACCGATCATGTTGATACAAAGCGTGACCAGGGGAGCCGATCGATGGCGCTCATATTTCATATATAGTCCCAGATATCACTACGTCATAGAAAATCAATGACCAAGTCAGTAGGAAAGTCGTTCGCAAAAATCGTCTGGCTCCACGGTAAATTCTTGGCACCTACATACCTAATAAAACTTCGCCGAAATGAATCATATTTGCAAAATTCAATAAAGCAGGTGAGCAGAGGTGATGTAGTATCAGACACCTCACAATACGGTCATGCAGTGACATCAGCATTGTGTTAAATGTCAGCGAGTATACAACTCAAGAGCAACCTACTGAACAGTACCACAGCCTTGCGAGACTCACTTGACTGAGCGAGGACACAACAGTATCACACCGCTCCTGCCATACCTGTTAAATCATTCTCCCCAATGCTGATGTAACTTGTAAAATAGTTATGGGAATCTTCAATCGAAGTCCTACCCTCCTAGACCTGGAAGCCGCCTTTGCACGGGTGACCGCCGCCTTGTTTTCCCTAAATTCCATGTGACTGGGGACCCAATCCAGGAAGACCCAACACAAGCTTTTTTTCGGCACGTCAGGTCCACCAGGCTTCGAAGGGCATCTAAAGAGTCACTAAAAGCTACGAAAACTCCGCTAGGTATCCCTGTTGTCTTGACCTGATATTAAATTAATAATTACAATATTAAACATTAACACAAATAATGGTAAAATAAAAATAGAGTGGACTATATGAAAATTAAAGGAACCGATCTCCAATAAGGATTAATGAGAACACTAATACACACAGACAGGGTAAGAATTTTCTAATTGACACCAGGCACATATGTACCAAAAGTTAGATAATTAAGAAATTTATATTACCACTTGCTATTTATATTGTAGCTGGATCACACCACAACGGCTACTTAACAAATAGAATCCTACTGGCCAGCGAGATATTTCAATGAAAGGACTAATGGCGTACATGCTGGACGCGTTGCATGGCGATGCCTCATTATTTCCACTATCACCAACTAACTCTGGAGGTCCTGCAAATTCTCTGCCCCTATTCTTCAGCAGGGGACATTCCAGTACTTATTAATTATAGCTTGAGACCCATCCATTCAATAATGGCTTCGATGACGCTAGATTACTGGACGATTTCACCACATTATTATTATTATAATCAAGGGGGAAGCGCTAAACCCGGAGGATTATACAGCGCCTGGGGGATGATGTGGAAGGCATTCAGGCTTAATTCGAGGAACTGGAGCACAGATCCAATTCCCTAAATCAAGAGCCCCTCACCAACATCAAGGAACCTTCCTTGAGGGGTCGATTTCACCACAACCAGCGCTCACACATGAATTCATCATGGCGTCCTCCCCCTGTATCACTCTGCGGCCGCTGCACACCCTCCTTCACATAAAATTTCTTGAAGGGTCAAATCAGCGTCATATTTTAATACACAATTATTATATCATTCATATTTACATATGCTGAATTTAGGAAATTTATAAAAAAAAAATCCACAGATGCCATGAAACCTTCAAAGATGAAAGATCACCTTGAAAGGGTTCACTCTCATGAGAAAAATAAAGACCATGATTATTTTAAAGCAATGAAAGAAAAAATAAAAAATCGACCAAATTTAAAGACTTTTTCAAGGCACCTGCCAATGTTGATGATAAAACAGGAGCGAAGTCATAATTAATATTAATGTGGAAAATACTGTACATATTTTCCAGAAATTCAGTATTTATATGTAAATAGATGGCCATACTGTATTGAATAATATTTATGCCATAGAAAACGGAAAGCCTGCGTCTGCGCAGACGGGACTCGCCATCTTGGTTTTTGAATTGTGTACAACGTTGGTGTGATGGGAAGGAATTTTCGTGCTCTAGAGGTTGAAATTGGGCTGACACCTCTCAAATAGGAGGCGAAATTGTTGGACATCCATTCCTGCATAACTTGAGATATCAGACGACTGGACAAGACAGCTCCAGGAACCTCAGATAAGCTCTCTAGATTTGTGTATAATTCTGGCCAGTGTTTTCATAAATTTAGTTAGTGAGGTTTTTCTGAGTATGATACAACTTAATATCCATTATTATTATTATTATTATTATTATTATTATTAAAGATTCGCCGGTATTCTCGCGGCCCGGGCCTTTTCCAAGTGGTGGCCCGGCCTTGGCTCCCTCTTTAGGGAGTGTCTGAGACCTAAGTCTCCCATGGGAGGAGGCACAAGTACCTCCTCATCTTTGGGACCAACTGTCCCCAGGCCTAGCCACAAGCTAGGCCTCTCTGGTCTGCCATCCCCGCCCCAAGGGGGCAAATGGGAATGACAGTCTTATGAGCTAAAGGCTCGGGCTCAGGCACCTACCCTACCCTAGAAGGGTTAGGCATGGTGTCGATCCCTTAATATCCATTTTTTTTTTTTTTTTTTTTATTCGCCGGTATTCTCCTGGCCCGGGTCTTTTCCAAGTAGTGGTGACCAGTCAAATTGGTGAGTGATATTAAGAGATATATTCCTTCTGTTATGTAATTGTGTTTATATATAATCATTTTTTAATATAGTCCATAAATTTATATATTTACCAGAATTCCTGATGTATGATTCATTTAATTAATAGGTCCAGAGCAACTTGTGGTTATGACAGTGGTAGGTATCGAAGGGGGACACTTTTTGCGACCTAGGTGTCCCAAATTCCTACTTGTCTATGTAACATTGATAAATAATAATTATCTTTGTTATCATTTACTGTTATGTACATAATTAGTTACATTCAGATAACTGCAATTTTCCACAATTAACATCTAGCATTATTATTCGTAGTACTATTAGTTAAAGTACTATTTATTAAATTATTTTCATATAATAATGTTTCGGGTTTAATGAACACTGAATCTTCATGAAGGTTATTTCACTGTCTGACAGAAAACGTTAATTATGAGGAGTATCTTGTCTAAAACTGCAGTGTAATCGCTTGATTTTTTTTTTGTTCTTTGATTTTTGTTTTTTGTCAGTGAGTATCACCACTTTACATATTTCAGAATTATTTCGTATTTTCAGCACAGTGATAACATAAATCTCACAAAAGAACACATTGCTGTGATAAGAGATACCATTTATTCCTATCTATATGTCTTCCACTTCCCAAGACATGGGCTGGTAGACCTATTGCTGTACTCCTCTTTCCGTTGGTCAAGACAATAAGGATTACCTGAGAAGTATTACACTCGTAGGTCGAAGTCTTCATGGGTCAGGTAAATAGGCAATTACTTGAAGTAGATGAGTCAGGTTTAATCCTCGTAAATCAGGACCCCAGTGGAAATAGGTCACTTTGTTTGGTTTTTTTGCGTTATCCTATGTAATCTACACAAGTGCTGCTATGAATGATAATTTATGTAACTGTATTTATGTGTGCCTGTACTTGAATAAACTTACTTATGGTAGGTTGAAGGTATGTCACCTGATTCGAAATAAAGCACAAATAAATATTGGCCCAACGAAAATAGAAATAAGATAAGATTTGTTCGGAATTTCGACCCGGAGGGTTAGCGACCCATGATAACCCAAGAAGTTCGTCATCGAGGACTGTCTTATTTCCATTGTGGTCCTTCAGTCTTGTCCCCCAGGATGCGACCCATACCAGTAGCTTACTTGCTAGGTGAACGGGGACAGCAGGTGTAAGGATACACGCCCAATGTTTTCACCCATTCCGGGGATCGAACCACGAACACTCAGTGTGCGAAGCGAGAGCGTTGCCTACCAAGCCACAGTAGTGATATAAACTGCACAAATGTATATTACCATACTGTTTATATAACCATTTGTTGATTTTCCTGAGTTATTATATTAAGAAATAAAACCCTAACTTTGGCCAGACTGGGATGCGCAAAATATCGCTGTTAGCCATTTAGTCATTTTCTTTAGATTTCAGTGAGTAACTTGCTCTC